TTAATATATTAAATAATATTTAAATATTTTCATTTCTTTTTTTTTGAAAATGAAGTAAAAAATTTTGTGTCTTCTATGCTTTAGAGAGAGAAGGAGTGAGGAAGAGAGAGAAAAAATAGGTTTAGTATTTTTTTGTAAGGTAATTTTTTAAATTCTAAAAGAATATATTTATATGATCAACTTCTTTTCTTATTCCTAATAATTTGGAATACCCATTACCAAAGGGGGCCTTGGTAATGTCTATTTAGGCTTCTCTTGGAACTAAATGCAACTTTATCTCAAGAAGGAGAATAAGAGAGGAATGGCTATTCCCTTCCCCCCAACCAAGGATGCCCTAAGAGAAGTAATTGAGATGGGCATTAATTTGTGCCAATAATATTGCAATGCAATAGTGGTGCCATGATCATTAATAGAAGAGAAGGTGACTACAAAAAAACATTGGAAAAGATCAGGGGGCTGAGATAAAAGTTAATTGTGATGCTGTTATGTTATCCATTGATGGGGAGAATTAGGATGGAGTTGGATTTGTAGATAGTGTTGGTCCCAAAGTAGTCATAGAGGAGGGTGAATAGTATTAAAAATTTTTTTAAAGGAAACTCTTAAGTTTGAAAAACTCTTAAATGATTTTGGAATGAAAAGTTTAAAACTTGTTAAAGTTAAAAGACATCAGGTAAAGAAAGGGTACAGAAAAGTAGACAAAACACAAGTATTTGTAGTAGTTTGGTCTCTTTAACCTACAGCTATTACTTTGATCTCTCAATCAAGGATGTTTTACCCAACTTCACTAATCCTGTGGAATTGACAACTTTCTTCAAGCTTTTTACAAAGTGACCTTCTAAGTCAAGCTCAAAACCCTTACAAGCTTTCCCAACCTTAGTCTATCCCATAAAGTTTCTCTCACACTCTATGTGAACAAAGAATAAAGAAAAGATAGAGTACAATTAATCACTTAACTAATCTAAGATGTATAAGTTCAAGCTCAAACACTTTTACAAAGGGTAGGAGTAAAATACAAGTGTAAGAGAAGGTTTTTTTATTCTTTAGGCTCAAAATCACTTTGGATAGGTTCTTTATGATTTATACTTAGAAGACAGTTTCTAGTCATTGGAAACAGTTTTAGAACAAAAATAGCCATCATTTGTCTTCTAACGACTTTTTTCAAATTTGTTGACAGTGCCTTCTTAACTAGTTAAGGATGAGCTTAACCAATTAAAGCTTTCTTGTCTTGCAATCTACTTCATTGTGTTAACCGATTAAGGGTGGCTTTAACCGATTAAGCACATTTTATTCTCAAACTTCTCTAACTAGTAGTTTTCATTTAATTGGTTAGTCTTCTCTTTAATTGATTGAGGCATTTCTTCCTTCAACTTTAATTGATTGAAATAAGCATTAACCGATTAAAATATCTTCAAATTTGAATTCCTTCATTTGGCACCCTCCAATGGTCAACTTCATTTTAAATTTGAATTTTGGCCTTTCTGGGTACTTCTTGTTTGACCTTTAATCAATTAAATCCTTTGGTTAACCAATTAACATGCTTTTGTTTTGAATCCAGTACCCTCTTAATCAGTTAAACCTTATTTTAACTGATTAAGACTTTTCTGCCTCATTTTAATGTAACGCCTAGTTTTGTGTTAACCGATTAAAGATCCTTGATAATCAATTAAAACTATACTATTTTTGTTGAGTTCTTTCTTCTTTGTTTGTTTAACTGATATTGCAATTGAACAGGCTTCTTGACTTGTTTTCAAGCAATAAATATGCTAAGACATTTAAACTTTCTCTTGCACACTTCAATAACGTAATTAGACACCAATGAATGATGAATGTTTTGTTATCATCAAAAACACATGGAGTCGACAATTAGAAAAAACAATGGTGATATGATAATGGCAGGTGCTGTAAAGCTATTATCTGCGCAGAGTGTTGCTTTGGCTGAGTTGAAGACGATATGCTGTGCATTAACTATATGTCTGTAGGAAAATATTCAGGCCACAAGTGTTAAAATAGATTGCATTCAAGTGGAAAACTGAATCAAAAAGAGGCAATATAATAGTGATGTTGGCCATATAGTAGAAGATTGTATAATATTGTTAAAACAAACTGCTGCAAAGTGGAATTTGGCTAAAGAGAAGCGAGCAAGGTAGCCCATGAACTGGCTAAATCAGTTAAGAACTTGAGATTAACCATGCCATTTGGAGGAATGCTTTAGAGACACTGGATACTACACAATGAGTACTCGAGGTCGATTTAAAGTCCATGTAAGGGATTTAGGGGTTTATGGGATAGTAAGACATGTTAGTGTGGTACTCTTTTTTTCTTTTCAAGGGTTTTTCCCATTGGGTTTTACAATGGAAAATTTTTTAAGGAGGCCCCTTTTTCATGTCATGGTAGGTTATAATATATGGATTAACAAAGATTTTGATGACTTATTTATATTATAATGCTATATGCCATAGAATTGGAAACAACTTTTCCATACCATAAATGATAATCCATTCCATAAACATTTTCATAATGGTGTTAACTATTCCTTATCTTAAAGAATAGAAACACTAATTTATGTATCATTTTACCCTTTAAAAATTTTGAATTCCTAACTTTGTCCCAAGAATAAGAGAGAGAATATAGTTGGGATTAGATTTCGACCATGGCACCAGTCAAGAAATTACCAAATTATGTCAACAGTCGTTGGAGGTGACGAAATGGACTACCAATGGCCAAATTTGGTAAAGAAAGATCAACAAAGGGGGTCAACAACTAGGTGACGTTTGGTACTTTACAATACAATGTGATTACAAGTAATGTGATTGTAAGTAATGTGATTGCAAGCAATGTGATTATAGGGAAAATAACGCAACCCTAGATCTAGCTGTTGATAGCCATTGAATGGTGCATCATCAACCAAGTTTGGCCACGCAAAATGCCATGATGGCATGCTAGACAATTTGACAGTTAGAAGTGTCAAAAACGCTTTCTGGCTACGTTATTTGACCACGACAATGTTTGAGGCTCAAGTCTTGGTGGCTCGATTTGGGTGTTGTAAGACTGTTATTGTATGTCGATGGTTGGATCTTATAACTAGTAGCACCTAGGTGCTTGGTCGAAGACCAGGTTCAGTCATCGTTCCTATTGCTGATCAATGTGAGAGGAAGAAAGAAAAGAAGGAAAAGAGAAAAAAAAAAAGAAGAGAAGAAAAGAACAAGAAAAAGAAAAATGGAGAGGAAAGGGAAAAACATAATGAAAAGAGTTAAATTTTTAATTAATTAAGGTAATAGTAAAAATTTTAATTATAATAAAAGTAACTTTCATAATAATTTACTATTACTTTTATAAAAGGAGATAAATCAGTCTTTTATATTTATTTCAATCATATTTTCTAAGTCATTGAAACATATTAATGTTATTCTTATTACATCTAATTTCAAAAAATCAAAATTCATAATAACTATACTATTTTAATTTTTCACTATTCTATTTTTAGAGAATAATTACTCTTTTATCCCAATCTATGAATCAAATGTGCTATGATAATAAGGCAATCGAAGAAACATGAAGAGATAACATTATCTACATGGCTAGTTGCTTCAAGATTTGACTTAAAAGTCAGGCAAGCAAGCATGGAATTGCACGTGAGCTGAGAGCCTCGTGAATGTAGAAGAGAAAACCCTTTTTAATTCATGGCTGCAAATGGTGGAGAAGAAGGCACGAATGCATACGAAGGCGTCTTGAAACTAGAAACCTAAAACAACACCCCCCACCACCTTCACCTCGCTTCCCGCCGTAACACACGCTCCATTCGTGTCCAAGCAAGCACAGACTCTCGAAGGAAAACAAATAATAATAAAGACCTAAAATTGTCTCGTAGTTTTCAGTCGAGGATCCTACATTCGTGGGCACAAATTAATGCCCCACCTTGGGATTCATATCTTAAGGTTGTGATTATTGGAATCTGGAAACTACGTAGAAAGTTCTGGGAAGGGATGATGTGGTTTCTTACTATCCATGTCCAGGCCTTGATGTTCAAACCCTACTAATCTTTAAAGTTTCGTTGATGAATAAGTTTAAAGACCATGATTGATGGCTTATTCACCATTATCCAATACATTTAATGTGAAAATGTCTAAAACAAAATCTTGAAGTCAAATCTTAATATATCGGTAGATTGAGTAACAAAAATAGGATAAACTTTCGGGTTTAAAATAAGTACCTCAACTACTATCATTTGCTTGTAGAAATGGATAAGATATGAACGTATGTACACTTTCCCTTGGACCCTTTCCAAACATATATATACTAGAACACTTTCTGGTAGAAATTAAGTAGTAGCACATCTTCAGTAATTAATTGGTTTTGATAAAACTACACTAATAATGTCAGTAAATAATGACAATTTGAAATATTTGTCTAAATAGGTAGATAATAATTAATTAAGTTGATTACTAATTAGGTGATATGATTACTGATTAGGTGATATGATCATATTTGCCAAACGGACTACACCAATGATAGCTCAATTTCACAACATGACAAATCTACCTAAGTGGGATTAGTTTTTTGTTTCCGTCCAAATCAGGTCTTATAATTCTCACTGCCAAGCGAGGAATTAGAGTTTAATGGCTGTGGCTGACCCCATTTGACCCACCTCTCTGACTAGTGGGAACTATGAAGAAGGAAATAAGAATATCCTATCCATATACAACGAACACCTACTTATATAAGGGATTTATTAGATAGCCTAATCAAGCTCGCCGGTTTCATTAATATTTCTCTAGCATTTATTATTAGCTAAGCAATTGCTAATTAATTAGATCGTATTCTATTGGGGATGAATATTTTATTAGATATTTCACTTTGCCACGCTGAAATATCTTACTTTTCACATACAAACTCGCCTATTTAAGCAACTGTCCTCTCTCACCAGCCAAGCCCCAAGTGCCTTCCTTGGTGATCTCCCCACCTCTTCCTAGCTAGTTATCTGCCTCTTTCGTTTGTGAACTATGGGTCTCGCGCCAATTTCTATTGACAAAACCTGGTGGATCTCAACACTCCCAGCTGTTGTCGAAACACAGAACTTGCTTGATGGTTTCGTTTTATTTAGCATTTCCGTGGCAGTTCTTTTAGCTGGGATATTCACTTGGGCTTCATCCCCTGGAGGGTTAGCCTGGAAAAATGGCAGGAACCAAATAGGTCAGGTCCCAATCCCCGGACCTAGAGGCCTCCCCTTGTTTGGCAGTTTATTCAGCCTAAGCCACGGCTTGGCTCATCGAACTCTTTCCTGCATGGCTTCCAGCCAAGCAGCCACTACCAAGCTCATGGCTTTTAGCCTCGGATCAACTCCTGCCGTCATCACATCCGATCCCCAAATTGCTCGTGAAATCTTGACCTCTCCTCACTTTGCCAACCGTCCAGTTAAATCATCAGCAAAGAAGCTAATGTTTAGCCGAGCCATTGGCTTTGCTCCCAATGGAACTTACTGGCGGCTTCTACGAAGGATTTCATCGACTCATCTCTTTGCTCCAAAACGCATTGCGGCCCATGAAAGTGGTCGCCAGATTGGCTGTGACGCCATGTTGTGTACCATCGATAAAGAACAATCCTTCAATGGAAACGTTTCTTTACGTAAACACCTTCAAGCTGCTGCACTTAACAATATAATGGGGACAGTTTTCGGTAAAAGATACGACTCGATAGAAAATAATGATGAAGCTAAAGAGTTGCAAGAGATTGTAAGAGAAGGGTTTGACATATTGGGTGCTTTTAACTGGTCGGATTATCTGCCTTGGCTGAGTAACTTTTATGACCCTTTTCGAATCAATGAACGTTGTTCAATTCTTGTTCCCCGAGTGAAAAAACTTGTCCACCAAATCATTGAAGAACACCGTTTCAATCAGTCAAGAAATACGGCTGATAGTTCTGATTTCGTTGATGTGTTGCTATCCTTAGATGGCGACGAGAAACTCAAGGACGAGGACATGGTAGCAGTCTTGTGGGTCAGTATTTTCTTATATATTTTAAGGTTTCTTTGCAATATATAATGGGTTAACGAGTTAGCTTTTGTTTTGTTGGTTACATGCAGGAAATGATCTTTCGTGGTACTGATACAACTGCACTTTTAACTGAGTGGATCATGGCGGAGTTGTTACTCAACCCTGATATTCAATCCAAGCTTCACCAAGAGCTTGTTCTTGCTGTAAAAGAGACGAGCGTGACAGATGCTGATGTGGCTAAATCACCGTACCTCCAAGCAGTAGTCAAAGAAACCCTAAGGTTGCACCCACCTGGGCCCCTCCTTTCATGGGCCAGGTTGTCCACGTCAGATGTCCAGCTCAGCAACGGCATGGTGGTCCCTGCCGACACGACAGCCATGGTCAACATGTGGGCCATAACCCATGACCCAAATGTCTGGGAGGATCCACATGTTTTCAAGCCAGAGAGGTTTCTTGTGGGCGGAGCTGATCAGGTAGATGTGAGGGGTGGTGATTTAAGGCTTGCACCATTTGGGGCTGGCCGAAGGGCCTGCCCTGGCAGGAACCTAGGGCTGGTGACCGTGGGCCTTTGGGTGGCTAGGTTGGTGCAACGTTTCAAATGGGTTCAAGATGTGGCTAACCCAGTTGATTTGACCGAGGTGCTCAAGCTGTCCTGTGAGATGAAGAATCCTCTTCGCGCCGTCGCTATTCCAAGAAATTGCCTTGCAACTTGTTGAGAGTCAAGAGACACGGGTAAAGAATAAATAAAACTAGTTAAGGGATGGTCAATCAGCTGCATATATCATGTATTTTATGTTGGCTTTTGCTTAATTAACTAATTAATTCTATGTTTCGTTCACGTGTTATCTCGTAAACTTGTATTGATTGTTGCAGTTTAATATTATATATATATATATATATCCAAACTTTAAACTAGTGATATTCATGTCTCTTTTTAATCTATTTTTATACTTAGTTACTAAGTCAACTCTCTCTCTCTCTCTCTTTTCCTTATAACCTTTCATTTCCTTAACTTTAGGGTACAAATTTATTGAGATTTGATGTTTGTGTTTAAAAACTAAAAATTGTGACTTGAATCCAATTTCTCCCATTTTTTTTCTCTCAAACAATGTGGTTGGCGTCGCTCCCATTTGCCATCTTCTTTCCTGATCTTGTCCTATCATTAGTCAATTTCTAACTTTTTTTTCTTCTCAGCAGTTGATTTCTAGCTTGCGAGTTGATCGTAACAGTTTCCTTATTTCATCCTTTTTCTGACTTAGGGTTTCACATATTCGATACATTATGTGCTTGTAGTATTGTAATAATTAGCCAATTTCAATTTCAATGATTTACTGTGTTTAGGACATAATTAATTATTTAGTTGTGATTTATTAGATGTATACATTATGTGCTTGTAGTGTTGTAATAATTGGTCAATTTCAAGTTCAATGATATACTGTGTTTAGGACATAATTATTTATTTAATTGTGATTTATTAGACGTATAGTTAAAATTCAACATTATTGTTAATGGACTGTTAAAAAATTGGTCTAGCAGGGTTGAATTTATATCTTTTCTCAGTCAAGACCATAAATTTTATTGAAAAAGATGAAGAATTTACCATGATAAAATTCCCTAAAAAAAACAGAGGAAAAAGGAGCGGAAGATCTTTGTTTATAGTCGTCTCAAAGGTCCAGAAAGCCATATTCCAATTGAACAAAATCATGATATAACAAGGTCAAACTAAGAAGAATTCAAACATGTATTCTTGATCTTTCTTGAAAGGATTACATAAATGGCCTATGAACTACAAGGTTACATGTCCAAGAAATAATCTTATTGAAAGCATTTCAAATAAATTTTTTTCCATTAGCTTGTTAAAAATATAGAGCAGAACACCATCCTACTTCTAGGTTCCGGGACAACGAGGCATGCCAGAGGCAGGCGGCGGAAGGATGCTTGTTTCAACGGTGGTACCATTCTTCACAATGAAAACAGTGTCCATACCCCAGCTACTATGCCTTTCGTAATGACAGTGCATAAACCACACCCCTGCAAAAATATATACGTCATTCGTATCATCAATAACTCACTCTCTGACTTGCAAAAGGAGGAGGAAGAGTTCTCTTTCCTTCATTTAATTCAGAACTTACCAGGATTATTTGCATAAAATCTGACGGCAACCCATCCTTCAACAGGAACATGGACAGTGTTAATTAGTGGTGGATCAACCAAGTTGTAAGACCTAGGATCGGTGACATTATTGAAATTTCCTGAGCCAGTCCCGACCCAATAGAAACTGAAACCGTGCAAATGAATTGGATGACCTCCTCCAGCACCAAAATTGGTTGTTTGGAGAACAATCTCAACTGCTTCACCGTAATTTAGCACAACGGCCTTTGTCCCTGGATTAGCAACCCTATTCAAACCAGCCAAGTCTCCAGTGAAGTTATAGAACACGGGTGGCTGAAGGGGAAAGTCTTTGGTGAAAACACCCCTGATACTCCTGTCATAAGAAAAATGATAATTATTAGCTCTAGTAATGATATAGAAAAGTTAGGAAGGCCACAATGGCAATAGATCCAAACAACAAATTGTAATAATTAAATGTAATATAAATGCTATCCATGTACCTGTTGTAGTATGCTTGGAGAATGTCAATTTGTGGAAAATCAAAACTAACATTGTTCAAACTTGCAGCAAATCGAAAATCTTGATTAGGACAGTTATCGCAAGGTAATATATTTGTGGCAATTGCAATGTAGACACGCCTATCGATATGCTTCGGTACTTTCATTGGCGGATTTTGTGTGACGTTTGAATTCTTAATTCGTCTGGTGAAGTTAGCTGCAGCATCTGAATCAGTCATCGCGGGCAGCGTTATTAAGGAAGCATTCAATCCACCAACACTGCTTGTATATTGAAAAACACCCCTCGTGATATTATTGCGAGGTGGAGCACCGCTATCAGAGAAAGGCCTTGTAGCCATGTAATACTGGCCCATGTTTTGGTTTGCAAAGACCAAAACATCCATGGTTTGCCCCGGGCTTATGAATATATAGTCGTTTGTAAAACTTTGAACGTAGGAAGCATCTTGTGCAACGACTGTGAGGCTGTGGTTTGCGATGGCAAAGAATTTCGGTTCATTCATCGCAGCATTGATTATGCGGAGAAGGTATGTCTTCTGGTAATCAACTTGCATACGGAATAAAGTTTCTGCAGCAGGTCATGTGAATTGTGACTACGAGAAGGTCAATTTAGAAACAAAAATAACAGCAAGAAAGTTCAAATTAAGGAGTAACTTTTCCTCTTTGAGCGCTAGAAGAACTTCTACTAATGATTGGCATACGTACCATTGGCACATGCGTATGTGTCTCCTAAATGCCCATTGATAGCGTAAGCATCTGATGCGGGTGCAGCCGTACCGTTTGACGTTGCTTCATCAATAATTTCCTTGTAGTCTCTATTATACCATGATTCTGTCAATAGAATAAAGAAACAAGATAAGATTTTCATATAATTTAAATAAGACAGGCGATAGGGAATGTTCCTATTCGTATCATTTCATGACCATCCATTTAGTCAATTATGAAAAAAAAAATTTGAAAAGATATAAATCCATACGAAGAATGATTGTTTGATCTGCATCAGGCGTAGGAAATGGATAAGTTTCATTCTCAGCAGGTAAAATGACAAAGGCACCATGGACGGAGCCACGAGTCCAATCACTGTGGGCATGCCACCATAAGGTTCCTATTTCATCAGACAGTATAACTTCATAAGTGAAGTTTGTTCCTGGTTGAATCGGGCACTGCGTTACGAATTCGGGGCCATCTGACCATGGATTTCTTGGTTGTTTCACACCGTGCCTATCAAAGTAATTTTCAATGAATCAATATTTAATGAAAGCAAGAAGTGATAGAGAGAGAGAGAGAGAAATTGGTAATTACCAGTGAATGGTAAGGCCATAGTTCCCTTGATTGTGGACATTAACATACACAGTGTCCTTTCTGTGAACCCGAATCTCAGGCCCAGGATAACTGCCATTTACGACCAACATCGACTTGGTGGTGTTACACAGGCTTGTAAAGTTCGTCTCTCGTACCTGCAACCAAAGACGCAAGCTCCATTAAATCTCAATCTTTCAATCACTGCCAATCTTCACTCTCAGGAGCTTTGCCATGATTCTTGAAGTCATATACTAGTATTATTAGAAAAACCAGATGCATAATCAGTTAAGAGTAAACAAGCACTTACAAAGAACTCATAGTAGTGGACGTCTGCCCTGCAAAGGAGCAGGGTACTTAGAAACAAAACCCCTAGCAACCATAAGACTAAATCTTGCTTCAATAAACCCATTACTGTTCTCTCAAACTTTTCTTTTTTCCCTCTAATTATGTGTTCGTCAGGTCACCTCTTATTTTCTTCTGTGATCTTTGGGGTCATAAATTTTTACAATTTATAGAAGAAAACGTGTGCTCCTAAGTTTCTTCTTCGACGTCAAAGTTATTGACTGGGTAAAACAAAATTCCAAAGTAAATACCCAACCTCAAACATGGCATTCAGTCAATAAATATCAATCACATGTGTCCAGGGAGCAGCCATCCGTCGGATTATACATAAAACCGTGTAAAAGTCTGCCCCTGTTAATATATTTTTCTCAAGTTTTCTTTATCTTAATTGTGCTTCTCGAAAAACGCTTGTCTTAAGGTTAATAAATACGTTTTGGTGTCTCAAGTCAGGTTGTTCGTTGTGGTTCCTTTTTTTTTTTTTTTAATATCAAGCATTTATTTAAAATTTGTTAAGTCAACAAAAGAAGTTGGGCATAGTTCATGCAAAGGTCAATAATTTTGAATGCATGATTTTTTTTCTTATATGTTCACTGAAAATGTTAGATTTTCTCAGTACTAAAATTTGAACTTATATTATTTAATTTGATTTTTCTTTTATATAAAAACCAGCTTAGCATATTTGATCTTGACAATAATCTGATTAAATGGGTTAGATTTCAATATTAAATGTAAACTTAAAAATATAGGTCTCGATAGGAAAATTTTAATTCTTATAATAAATAAAATTAAATATTCACTATATAAAAAAAATTATAATATTTCATTTTCTTTCCACAAGGATGTTAAAGTCTCACTTATTGGAGAGTTATCTAAAAAAAATGAAAAAGATTCTAATATATTGAATCTCAACAATTATATAATCAGTATTATTTATGTTAACAAATCATGTATCAAAAATAAAGTATATTTTTATATTCTAAATTTTTGTTATAATTAATGTTGAATTAGTATAAATTTATTATATATAAAACCTAACAAAACTTCTCGAAAAGGAAAAGTTATAATTGATAACTTTTACCCATTCAATCAATTTTGAATTCAATGTTACGAACTAATTAAATAAAGCTTGTATTATCTGCATGGCAACCAAATTAACGTTGGTTTGTTAAGACAGAAGCTTCCTGAAGCAACTGAAAAACAAGCACCAGAAACAGTATTCAAGGAAAAGTAAAAGCGGAAAGTTCATCATTATGCCTTTGAATGTTACTACTTCAATCAGCCTGCCATCAACGACTTCTTTCCAGGTTAGTTTGTCGATAAACGCGTGAGTGGCACGTATCCACTTAATGCTTCTAGGGGAAGCTCCCCAAGATACGCTTCTAGTAAGTTATATAGTTTATACTAATAAAAAAATAATTACCTTTTGTTAACAATGATGATTATAATCATAGAATTAAATTAAATATAATCTACGTCATGAACTTAATTGTACTTGTTATTGACATATTTTTTATTTTAAAAATATATATATTTATTACATATCAATATTAGTGTTATCAAAAAATATATAAATGTCAATGTCAGCATATTCTTTTGATGATAACAACGTAATCCTAAAATTCACTCATCATTAAAAACTTAACAGTTGATAATAAAATTATTTCATTAACAAATTTTGATTCAATTTTTAATAAAAAATATCATAAATTATAACATTCTTTATTTATATTTCTTATGTAGTTGTGTATAAGTATATTATATTTGTAACATAGCATTGAAGAAACGTAGAATTTAAATTCATTCACAACATTTATAATTTAGTAATTAAAATCGATAAAATATTTTTAGTGTTATTTTACATTAATTATTTTATTATTGATATAAAATTTTAATGTATTCATCATTTTCTTTTGCCAATGAAATTATCATTTAATCAATTACGTAACCTTCTTTATTCTTCTTTTTCTTTTTCTTTCAACTTTCCTTTCTTTTGTTTCCCTTTCCTTCCTATCTCTCTTTTTCTCTAGCAAAAAACGTTGACACATGACAATCAATTGGCAGCTTAATTAATGAGCAGACAATCAAATAGAAATGGTCTCCACTTGGGAACAACTTTAATTGTGTAGATCACTACTACGTGTAAATGTAATAAAAAGTGACGATATTATTTGTTATTACATTAATTATAAATTAAGTAATATAATTCATTTGAATTTTTTTCTTTTATTATTTTAACTAAAAACAAGAGCAAACAGTGTGTTTGGATAAAAAAAAACAATATGTTTAAACTATTATAGGTAAAAACATGTATTTGTTTTAGATAATAAAATCCATAATTCTCTTTCTATAGAGATTAATTATATTATAATCCATGTCATGCTTAATTATTTGTTCATTTTAAATCAATTATTGCCTTTCCAAAAACTTTAATCAATTACAATTTTTGTTTAAGATAATAATTCTATATATTAATAGTGGATTTACCCTCTCCCCTTAAGGCCAATATGATAGGGCGTGCAGCGCCACTGCTTATAAGTCACCCAAGACTCCCTTACATGTCCGATATGATAGGGCGTGCTGCGCCACTACCAATATGATAGGGGTTGCTCCTCATAGTCCAAGAAATTTTTTCTTAGCATGGAGGTCAACAATGATCACTATAAGTAAGATTAAAATTTAGTTGATTACATTATATGCTATTTCTTGGTTTATATGGTTATTTCGTAATGATGTTAATTTTAATGGGAAGATATGGGATAGTAATCAATTATAGGATTTGATTAAACTCCAAGTTGTAGTATGGAGTAAAGCTAAATGAACTTTTCAAAATTCAGCTTTAGTTAATTTAATTCAGAATCTGAAACCAGAGAGGAAAATGGATGTTTGGAGTGCACCATTGGAAAGGTAGGTTAAATCTAATGTGGATGGAGGTCAGTTGGAAACTTGGGAGAAGCAAGAATTAGTGGAATTCTTAGAGATAATAGAGGTGAAACAGTTATGTGGTTTTCTAGTAAGTCCATTGGGAGGTGTGATGCTAATCAGGCGGAAATTTTACCTATAAGAGAAACCTTTTTATTGTTTACTAAATGTTTGAAAAATTATTTTTTGAAGCTGTGGATAGAAAGTGATTCTCACAATGCGACAACATGGTTAAATAATACATTAAAAGTATTTAAGGCTGATCAATTTTTTAGTGTCTGAATTTATCTTAGTTCCTGCGAATGTGTTTGACAAGGACTCCTAACTCTGGGTGTGGAAAACTTTATCACGGCGGAAGCTAGTATTCAGATTCAAAATTGGTAGGCTTTGAAACGGATAGGCAATCAATTTAAGGAGGTTGGCTGCAGATTTGGAGTTACATGTAGACAGCATATTCGGGTGTTGTTGCTGGATTTGGACATTGGATTGGATTTAAGTGTGTAATAATGTAGCGTCATTTTTATATGACGTGAGACTCACATAGTATATTTACATGTTATAATAAATAATGATGTGGTAAGTTAATAATGTGGTCTTTTTCATCTTTCATGTCAACATCATATGGATATAAAATAATTAGTATTTTGGTTAATATCAATTAGTCAATTATTACTCATAAGAGTCTATTTGGTTTAAAAAAAAAATTATAAGAGTCCAATTAAACTTAATAAAAAAATAAAAATTTATTTAAAATTTTTTAAATAGTTTAGAGATTTCTTACAACATTATATCCAAATTTATACAATTACCAGTAATTATACTAATTAATAACTTTTTTTAAGCAATTGTAAATGGGCATGTGAGAATTTATTTGCATCACTTGTATAGTTAAAAAGACCTAGTATATAAAATAATTTTCTTTTAGATTTATGGATTATTAACTTGTATACTGAACTTGACCTTTGTTAACTCCACAACCATGTTTATAAGACTGCCACATATTTGTTTAAAAATTATATTACTTTATTATTGTATTTAATTATAACTTATAGACACATGATGTCATCCGTTTGTGGAGTTCAAAATTTTCATAGTAGATGTACAAGAAAATTTCCTTTTGACTTAAATCAATTTTTAAAATGTAAAAAACAAATAGCAAAAACTGTTAGCCAAATGGAAAAAGAAATAAATAATTACTTCTATCCGTTTGTGGTTAGCCATGAATCCCTCTTATTTGTTATAAATGGTGAAGCAATTGACTTAAATGACCTAATGGAATTGAAAAGTTCAAAAGAGAATAGAAGTCATGTCCTTTTATCGCAGAGGTATCACTTTCAACCCGCCATCAGGTCTCAATAGCATCATTTGGAGTGTACTGTACGAGTAGTGTGCAAATTGTATTCTCATTCCCACTTATTGCTTCTCATGTCACTGTATAAATTTGTACTGTTTAGACTTTTGACTTTGTCTTTGCTCTATGAGACAATGACAAATTTAGTAAGTGAGATAGACAAAGTACAATTATGGGTGAAGTTAATTGGAAATCCATATCCCAATTGAACAAAATCATAACATATCAAGGCCAAATTAAGATGAATTCAAAGGCATAATGTTCGAATAAGTTTTTAAATTATTTAAGAATATTTAAATAAACTCTTATTTTTTTATTGTGTTCAATCAAGCTTCAATATTTTTATTTTGGATCAAATAAATTCTTATGACTAATAATTTATTAATTTTTAATAGTAATAATGTCACTTATCATTTTATATCCATATGACATTAACATAATATTAATATAAATAATAATTTTAATAGTATAACATAAGTTATTATACTAAATTAGCATGATATACTATTATCAATTATGATACGTTAATATGTCATATCATAATCAATTATAATATTTTAGTATGTCACGTTAGCGTTACGAGATATAAAATAACAAATAACATTTTGATTAAATCAATCATTAGTAATAAAGGTTTATTTGACTTAAAATAAAAAATATAAAAATTTATTTATTTAAAATAAAAATATAAAGACTTAATTGAACATAATAAAAATATAAGAGTTTATTTGAATTTTCTTGAATATTATGCTTGAATTCAAATCTTCCTTGTAATGATTACATATATTGTATATCAACTATAAGATCATATATCCAAGTAAAAATCTTATTGACAATATTTCAAATAAAATTGGTTCCATTCGCTTGCTAAAAAATAGAGAGCCAGACACCACTTAACCAGTTATCCTACTCCTAGGTACCGGGACAACGAGGCATGCCAGAGGCTGGCGGTGGACGGATGCTTGTTTCTGCGGTGGTTCCATTCCTCACAATGAAAACAGTGTCCATACCCCAGCTGCTATGCCTTTCGAAATGACAGTGCATGAACCATACCCCTGAAAAATATACATCACCCACATCAATTAATAACTCTTTGACTTGTGAAAAGAGGGAACAAGAGTTTTTCTTTCCTTCAATTGATAGAAAAACTTACCAGGATTAGTGGCAAAAAGTCTGAGGGCAACCCATCCTCCTCCAGGAACGTGGACAGTGTTAATTAGTGGTGGATCATCCAAGTTGTAAGAGCTGGGGTCAGTCACATTGTTAAAGTTTCCTGTACCAGTGCCGACCCTATAGAAACTAAAACCGTGCAAATGAATTGGATGACTTCCACCAGCACCAAGATTAGTTGATTGGAGCACAATCTCAACTGCTTCACCGTAATTTAGAACAACAGCCCTTGTCCCTAGACTAGCATTCGTATTGAAGCCAGTCAAATTTCCTGTGAAGTCATAGAATACAGGCGGATCAAGGGGAAAGTCTTCGGTGAAAACACCACTGGTACTCCTGTCGTAAAGAACAATTTATGACCGTTAGCTTCAGTAATGAAACTACTTTCTTACAGCCCAAAACGATAAGTTGAAGACATAAAATGGGTTAAATTTAATCGGAGAGGCTGGAACTCTGTATGCATACCTGTTGTAGTATGCTTGGAGAATGTCAATACGTGGGAAAACAAAACTGACATTGTTCAAACTTGCAACAATTCTATTAGGCACAAGGCAGGTTGAGGAGTTGCAAGGTATGCTGTTTGTGGCAATTGCAATGTAGACTCGCCGATCGATATCCGTCGGCACATTCATGGGCGGGTTCTGTGTGACGTTTGAGTTCCTAATTCGGCTGACGAAGCTATTTGCAGCATTGGAATCGTTTCTACGGGGCAGCGTTATTAAGGAAGCATTCAATCCACCCACGCTGTTTGTATATTGGAAAACACCGGTAGTGATAAAGTCAACAGGTGTGGCAGCACTATCGGAGAAAGGCCTAGTTGCCATGTAATATTGGCCCAAGTTTTGGTTTGCAGAGACCAAAACATCCATGGTCTGTCCAGGGCTTATCAGTATATAGTCGCTTGTAAACATTTGCACGTAGGAGGCATCTTGTGCAACGACTGTGAGGCTGTGGTTCGTGATGGTGAAGAATTTCTGTTCATTCATTGCAGCATTGATTATGCGAAGAAGGTATGTCTTCTCATAATCAACTTGCATACGGAATAAGGTATCTGCAATAGGTAATTACATATTGTGACTGCAAGAACTTATGAAAGGTATATTGACATCAAAAAAAGCACCGGCAACCATATGTTTACGTACCATTGGGACATCCATATGTGTCTCCTAAATGTCCATTGATAGCGTAAGCATCTGGTTGGCGTGGAGGGATACCGGTTGAAAGTGCTTGGTCAATAATTTGCTTGTAGTCTCCATTATACCATGATTCTGCCAATACAGAATAAAGAAATATTATTAAGATTCATATACTATAGATTTTGTGACAAATGAAAGCGTGGGTTGTTATTGTCTTATTCATTTTCGAGCCACATGATATCAATATAATAGGTTAAGTCAATTATGGGGGGAAAAAGAAAGAAGAGATATCCTTACGAAGTATGATTGTTTGATCGGCATCAGGAGTAGAAAATGGATAAGTTTCATTTTCGGCTGGCAAAATGACAAGGGCACCCTGGACGGAGCCTCGAGTCCAGTCACTGTGAGCATGCCACCAAAGAGTTCCTATTTCATCAGATAATATAACTTCATAAGTGAAGTTTGTTCCTGGTTCGATCGGGCACTGTGTAATGAACTCTGGACCATCTGACCAAGGATTTCTTGGTTGTTTCACACCATGCCAGTGAATGGTAAAGCCATAGTTTCCTTGGTTGTGAACATTAACAAACACAGTGTCCCCTCTATGAACCCGAATCTCAGGCCCTGGATAACTGTCATTTACGACCAGCAAAGTCGTAGTGTTGCACAGCTTTGTAAAGTTTGACTCTCGTACCTGCAACCACAAAATGACCGCCAAATTAATGAAACCTGTGTACAAAAATGGTAATTGTTTTGCTGTCTGAAAAACGTAAGCCAGTTCGATGCTTGTCTTCCTCTAGACGACTTTCCCTGTCTTCCGGGGTCCTACGCCATAATTATTAGACCAACGATGCCTTTTCACACCTAAACTTATAAATCCTATTCCTATGAGATAGATTAGGGTTGCTGCAAAGGTTCACCGAGTCTTTCACGGTGCTAGATTCAAGTCGATATTTTGTGTAATTTGTTTTTTTTTCAAGAAGTATGAATGATAAATGATAGTGTTTTTCAAAAATAAAATAATAAATCTTATTTTGTGTGTTTTTATTTTTACGAATTGAAAAACATTATTTTAATATATTCTATATTAAAATTTTAAATTTTTTAGGATCAAGAATTAAAAAAAAACACACAAAAAATTAATGTAGAATATAACCAAATAAAAGTATTAGATTTTTTTTAAATATATATATATATATATATAATTTTGCTCTTACATCAAACCGGTTCAAAATAAATTGAAAAATAACCAACCTAAAATTTGAAATTAGATATTTGAAAGACTAACACAATTGCATACTTCATTAAAAGAAAAAGGCAACTTACAAAGAAGTCGTAGTGATGGACGTCTGCCCTGCAAAGTATTAGGCTACTTAGAAACAAAACACCTAGCAACCAAAACCCTTGGTTCAATAAACCCATTTTTTCTTCGTTTTTTGTTTGCAATACTCTTCTCTCAAGATTTCAAAGTCACTAATCCCCCCCCTTCTCTTATGTGTTCTTCAGTTCACCCCTTTGTGATTTGTGTGCCATGAATTAAACAATTTATAGAAAGAAAGCGTATGCTCTCATGTTTCTCCTTGGAAGGTATTACGTCATTGACTTAAAAAAAAGGATGTTTCGAATTAGATACATACCTAACGTCAAACATGGCACCTAGTCAATAAATGAATAAATAATTTGCTATTAACTAGCCACATGTCGTTGCTTCTCACTAAGTTTCTTTGGGCAATCAGATCTTCATTTTTTCAAACACGTTGGATTCCTTGTTATTAAATTTCAGACAGCAGACCACACCTTCTATCGGATTGTACAGCTAAAACAATGTCAATATCAGTCTATGCTAAAATATTTTCTTTATCTTAATTATAGTATTGGGAAAATGTTTGTCTTAAGCTTAATAAATTAAGTGCCTCAAATCTCATCAGACCCAGGTTTGTTCATTGCTCTCATTCTTCAATAATATTTTAAGTCATTGTCAAGTGAGAGAGATAAGATAGTTCATAAGTCTTCCATGCATGAACTCATTGGCGGTGAAAATTAAAATTTCATTTTATAAATACAAATTAAATATTCAAGATTGTTAGTTAACTCAACAAGAAAGAAAAATGTATGGTTCAAACAAAGTCAATAATTTTGAATACATGAATTTTTTTATATATATTTACTGAAAATTCCTGAGAAAAATTTTAAAATATTAGCATAATACTTGAAGAACTCTTTAAATTATTTATGAAAATTCAAATAAGTTGTTTTTTTATTATATTGATTCAAGCTCCTGTTTTTTTATTTATAATTAATCAAAATATTACTTGTCATTTTATAATTATATGGTGTAGACATAACCCTAATATGGAGGATGAAAATAAAAATGTAAGGGTTTAATCTAATATAATAAAAGAATTAGAGTTTATTTTTAACTAGTTGAGAGACTTTTTTAGATATTATGTCAAAAATATCTTATAAGTGATTTTTTTTTAGTATAAGTGATTTATTTTCTAATCATTCAACCAATTTTGAATTGAATATAAGAGATTTGATGATTTTACCAACTAAAGCTTGTATTAGATGCATGGGAAGGGTTGTTTCGTTAAGGAAAAAGCATATAGAAAGATTATAAGCCCACCGTTTACGACTGTATTAAGATTAATTGTTTGTCGTTGAACAAATGATTGACATACATTCATAAAATGCTTTGGTCTTAATTTCTTAACACGCCTGAAATTGCTCCAAGGGAAAACGGATCTAACTTTCCTTTAGAATTAAATTGCAACTTCTTGAATAAGAAATCAGTTAGCTACGGCACAATACATTTGAACCGATCCAAGTTTGAAATTGTTAGTTACCCATCAAAGTCTAAAATAGTGGATGGTTTTAGACTTTCATGTCATGAGCATTCATTACCCTTCTCCGTTAATAAAGTGAAGAATTTAGAATTTCGCATGAGATATTACTAATATAT